GACGGAGAAGGAGTTACACGACGTCGTAATGCGGTCGCCGAGTACCGTAAGAAGCTTCTTCAACACAAGGAACTCGAATCCAGAGTACGATTAGGTTCGTTCATTCCTCAATCTCACTTCATACTTTCCTTCCCCTGTCATACCAATACCGTCTACAATTCGCTATTTTATTTTCACTACTTTTTTTTTGTTTGTTTGTTTACTATTATTGTTATCATTATTGCGATCGATTAGGGTTTTGTTATGAATTTTGACGAGTTTTGCTTTCCAACTGCGAATTGCAGTCAGAGAGAATTTGCGTGCCTCGAAGAAGGAGTTCAACAAAACAGAAGACGATTTGAAGTCTCTTCAAAGCGTTGGACAGATCATTGGCGAAGTGCTTAGACCTCTCGACAATGAACGCTGTAATGATTCTGTCCTTTTTCATTTCGTATTTTGAAGTTTTGAATTATGTATTGCTATACAATTTCATAGTGTATTGTGATTAAGCACCCAAGACTTCTGTTTCATTTTTAATGTGATGAATGTGTGTTTATTGATTCTGAATTGTAAAATATAATATAATTAGATGATCTAGCTACTTGATGAACTATTTACTTTGTTTTATTGCATGTTGATGTGAAATAAAGCTTATGCCAATGGTTAGTGTATGTTTTGGTTTCTGTTATCTCTCAGTGATTGTAAAAGCAAGTAGCGGACCTAGGTATGTGGTTGGCTGCCGCAGTAAAGTGGATAAGGAAAAGCTGACTGCTGGTACTAGAGTGGTTCTTGATATGACGACACTCACCATAATGCGAGCTCTTCCACGAGAAGTATGTTCTTGTGGTTTATTCATTCTGATACTTATTTGGTTTGATGCTTGTGATGTTTGTTTCCTGTTGGGTTATCTGATTCGGTTTCTTTTTGAAGTTTTTCGGCTAGTTTTTTGTACCTGAATGTTGACATTATCTATTGTGAATTGACAGGTTGATCCGGTAGTTTACAATATGCTTCATGAAGATCCAGGTAATGTCAGTTATGCTGCCGTTGGTGGTTTATCTGATCAGATAAGGGAGCTGAGGGAATCAATTGAATTACCTTTGATGAATCCCGAGCTCTTCATTCGGGTTGGAATTAAACCTCCTAAGGTGATTCTTTTTCACTGTACTGCTTGGTCTTTGACCTCTATTGGATGTGTTTTGGCAGCATTGTCACATAAGCATCCACAATTTCTTTTGGTGGAAGTGTGTTTTGAGGGTCCATGATTTATAATTTTGAACCTGATTAGAATCTTCTCAATTCTCATCGTGCAGGGTGTTCTACTTTATGGTCCTCCTGGTACTGGTAAAACATTGTTAGCTAGAGCAATTGCCAGTAACATAGATGCTAATTTCTTGAAGGTCAGAATTATTTCTTTTCTGAATTCTGTTGTGTTTTGAGATTTCCTTTAATCTTGTAATGTGCCTTACACTACATGCTGGAGTAGGTTGTTTCTAGTGCAATAATTGATAAGTACATTGGAGAAAGTGCCAGGTTAATTCGAGAAATGTTTGGGTATGCACGTGATCACCAGGTAGGTTCTAGTGTGAAGTTTCTTCCTATTTGTTTATATATTTAAATGGCATGTAGTTCTGAATCTCCACTTTGTTTGTTTAGCCTTGCATCATTTTTATGGATGAGATCGATGCCATTGGTGGTCGTCGTTTCAGTGAGGGAACAAGTGCTGATCGTGAGATTCAGAGAACGCTTATGGAGTTGCTTAATCAACTTGATGGGTTTGATCAACTTGGGAAGGTATATCTTTCTTCATAAACACATTTAGTTCATTTTTAAAACCAGAATCACCCTTTGCTTTTAGAAACATCCGCTCTCTTTCTAAACAACTTTGAATGATAGTGGACCAATAGTAAGCTTGCAAAATAAAAATAATAAATGCATTTCATGTGTCTTAATTTCCGGTATTTATTATTTTTTAGTGTCCAGGTTTGCAATTTTTCCTGATATGTTGAACTTAAGATGCAATTGCAAACGTGAATGATTATGTTAACATATAAATTCTTCTCTGACCATTTCTTAAACAAAGAATGAGTGGCCTTTTTCCAGTAGTAACAACAAAAATTTAGTTGAGCTGAAATTTGTGATGAATTTTATCTCTATCAACTCTCTGTAGCATTTATGGTACAACATATTTAGTGCAGACTTCTGTCATATATGTGTGATATAATTCACATAAAATGTAAAGCATTAGAACCTTCTGAATTTCTGATTGATGTGTCTTCTGGATATTGTGATTTGATTCTCTCCTAATATGATTGTTCAAGAAAATTCTAATGGTGGGTTGATAAAAATTAACAACACTGTTGTATGAATGGATGCTGTAGGTTAAAATGATAATGGCAACAAACCGGCCTGATGTACTGGATCCTGCTCTCCTGCGTCCTGGAAGATTGGATAGAAAAATTGAAATTCCATTGCCAAATGAACAATCAAGGATGGAAATTCTTAAGATTCATGCTGCTGGCATTGCTAAGCATGGTGAAATAGATTATGAAGCTGTTGTAAAGCTTGCTGAGGTGAGTCCTGCTTGTGCTAGTTTTGTTAGCCAATTGGTGCATGTTTAATTTGTTTTCTGTTACAAATTGTTCAGGGCTTTAATGGAGCTGATCTTCGAAATGTGTGCACGGAAGCTGGAATGGCAGCAATTCGTGCAGAACGTGATTATGTGATCCATGAAGATTTTATGAAGGTGAGTTGGTTCTTTGAGGAAGCTATTTTTCTATATCTTAATCATGTAAAGGGATTCACTCCATTTCACTCATAGTAACAATAATTTGACTTTCTGTGGTTTGCAGGCTGTTAGAAAACTGAATGATGCCAAGAAACTTGAATCCAGTGCTCACTACAGTGCCGATTTTGGCAAAGACTAAAAGTTATTATAGAATTCTCTGACCCATGAGTGTCTATTTAGTGCATCTTTTGAGCCAGAAATATTTAACGTAATTAGGTCAACTCAGACGGTCTCTCCTAAGATTGAAGTTCTTTCTTCGGGCTATTTTTTTTTTTTCTGTCTAGTTTAGTTCCATAGAGAATATATCAAACTATCGTAAATGGAAGGTAAAGGGAACATGTGCAGTTGAATTATTCGTCTAAACTAATGGTGTTATTGTTATTTTTTGTTATCTTTTGGATTTCGTGCATCTCCCCATTTATGTGAATTTGCGTTGCAATCTTCATTTATAAATCTGATTTGGTGTTTAATCTAAGCAATGTCATTTTTTATTCATTGGAAGGGGGAAGGGTTACACGTGATCTTATTGCCGTTATATTGATTATAGCTAGCAACAATCTAATATTGAGTTTGAATTTTAGTTTCATCATTTCATTTAATTAACCAAGACTCAATCCAGCTAGCTAAGCTATTATAGCTGTGTGGCCTTCAGCCATCTGAAATGTTGTAACATTGTGGTTATGTGAAGTCTAACTTATGAAAAAAAATTTACAATCAACTTTGTCTATCAGAATCGTGTAAAATTAATGTACGAAATGGATGTGGCCCAGGTACACAAACCAATCAAATTCAGCTGCTGAGCTACTGCAAAAATACATATATTGTTTACATTTAACTGATTGAAGTATCCTTTTGTCCCACGTCTCGCTCATCGGAACATAATGTCAAATTCTTGAGCGAGGATTGCTAACTTCGGTGCAACTTTGAGTTGGCAGTCTCCGTCGCGTTGTTGGCGTGGTTCACCTCTTTTTTTGTTGTTCTCTTGGTTAATTTGTGTTTTATCATTCTTACAATTTTGAAGAACCAGAATGCACTTACCAGCTGCAAACCCAATCCCATAGCCTGTAATGACGAAAGGAATTAAACAAAGGTGAGTGGTTACTTGAAAAAACAGAGTATATTTCAGGAAAAGAAAATGGGTTCTCTTAGAAAAGAAAAAAAATATATACCTTTATGAGAAGTGGATAGTTGGCTGATAAAGTTACGTATGTGATACACGGTCCGACCACCATCCTAGCAAATGTAAATATGGCAGCAAATAGAATCTGTGCCATTACGGGAAACTCAGCTTTTAACATTTTATATCAATGCTTAATTAAAATATTATATGTATCTTTTTATTTTCTATGTTTTTATCAACTTTACATTTTAGTTTCTATAATTAAAAATATTTTATTTTGATATATATATATATATAGTTATTGTTAATAAAATTATATATATGTATATAAATAAAAGCAGACAAAACAAAAATAGTTGAAAAAAATGTTTAAGGCGGTCACAAGAATCACATCTGAAATGTACATCTAATAGATAGAAAATAATGAGAATATTTTAATAAAAATAATAATAATTAAGAGACGCGAGAGCTTCGTCTTTTAAGTTATGCATTTTAATTTATAATGCAGAAGCAATATATTCGTATAAAATATTATTTTTTGGGAGTGTATATAAAAATATATTTATTTTATTATTAGAGTTAAATTAATAAAATCGTAATTAACGTCTTTATCAATTGAACAGTAGGTGAGTTTTAAAGTTGCAACATGAGAACAATTTGTGGTTGGAAAGATAAAATAAAGAAGGCAACCTATGTGAAGAGAAAAGGTTGAATGAGTTGCTATTTGACCTAATGGATATGCTTATGCTCCCACTTTTAGATGCAAAATTATGCTGTTAAACAGATAAATTATTCAAAATAATATGCTATTCCTGTTCTACACTTTAATAATAAAAATTAAATTAAATGAACTATAATTCAAACCGATATAAACGATAAATAGCCCCTTGTGGAAAAAATAATCATTTCATATAATATACATATAATACAAATATTTTATTTTTATATATATATATATATATATATATATATATATATATATATATCATTTTTGTTTCTTTTGTGTCTATGATCTATTTTTACATTGGCTAAAAGGTAAATCTTATCTCTCTGTAGGGATTAAAAAAATTAAACGAATATGTATAAGAATTAAAACAAAACATTTTTAATTATAGAAAAATGTAAAGTTGGTTAAATTATAAGACCAAAAGGATAATTAAACTAAAATTATAAAATTTAAATAGGTTTAACATTAATCTATTTGATTTTAATTATTAGTCTTCAATTAAAATCTAATCTATTTACTTTATATTGCACTAGAAAAAAAATTCCGTATCTCTTTATTTTTAAAATAAATTAAAATAAAAAAAATCATATAATAGATAGTTATATGAGTAATTATTTAAGGAAGATAAGAAATTGAGAAGAATAAAAAAATAAATTAAAAGAAAAAAAAAGTAATTGAAATTTATGAGTAAAGTAAAAAAGGTAAAATGGTTAATATAAAAAAATAAGACAAACAATTATTGAAAGAGGTATTTCGTTTAAATAATAATATATACACAAATAACATTGATTTCACCTCACAATTTGATTAAACAAGTATATTTTATTTATTAAACTTCCTTTTGTTCTCAAGTTATCCGCTCCTAATAGATTCTTATTTTTTTTATAGATTTTATATAAAATAATTATTTAAATATGTTTTTAGTTCTTTTAATTTAGGATAAATTTATTTTTAAATTTTTATATTTAAAATTAATATTTTTAGTCCTGTAATTTTTAAAAATCTTATTTTAATTTCTTAAATTATTAATAATATAGTTAAAAGTGAGAGATTAAAATTGTTATATAATATCAACTGAGTTTAATGTAATATTTTCACTAACAAAATTTTATACAATAATATTTGACAAATACTTTACAAAATTTAAGTATAAGGATTAAAATAAAATATTTTAAAATTATAGAGACTAAAAAGATTAATTTTAAATTTAAAAAACTAAAAATAAGTTTAGAGATTAAAAATATATTTAAGTTAATTAATTATATATAATTTCTTATAATTTAATTATGGTTTCAAAATGTTTGAATATATAAGAAAAACTGTAACAACCAATTGGAAGACATGAACAGAGCAGCAGTAAAAATGCAGGACAAGTGTGTGTGTACAGCTCACCACAAAAATAACACAAACACAATAATAAGTGATATTTGGTAATAAATACCATAAATAATTATTCAATTTTTTTTTTCCTGGAATATCTATTACCAATAACAGTGACTAATCTTCTCGCTATGTTGAAGGCACCTTAAAGAATAAGATAGCTGACCTCAAAATTTAACACGACTACATACATAAGACAAGATTCGAACCCCTAACCTTGCTTAAGCGTGGATCAATCCTGAGTGCCAAAAACATTTAGTGTTAATATATTATCAACAGTTGTGTTTTTTTCGCTTTTATTGAAATGTGCTTATACTTTCAGAACTACAATCATTTTTTTAACTTTAGTGAAACATTACTTCTTGCAGGAAACAACCAGTACAAGCATGTCGTATAAAACAAAAATTCCGAGAATAAGATAAATGCATACACTTAATCGACTTTTTTAACCTACTAACAATAAAAGCAGACATGAAAAATTTGGTATGGTCTATATTCTAGAGTTTTACTTACGTCAGCAACCAAATTAAGGAGGGTATCTCTGTAACCAAGCTCTTTTAAAAGCTCCCTTAAATGCAAGAATGGGCTTGATATCTCTGTTATCCATATTGTTGCTACCATTTCTGAGCCACACTGCACAAGATATTGCAAAATGTCACTAACTGATCATGAAATCCCCCCGTAAGAGCATTTTCAGTGAGTTGCTTATAAATAATTTTTTTATATCATATTATGTTACATTAATTCTTTTTTATTTTATAAATTATTTAAATTTTAATACTGGAGTTTTTATAATCAACTTTACTAAAATTTAAATAATTTATAAAGTAAAAAAAAGTTAATGTGATAATGATGTGGTACAAAAATTACTTATAAGCAACCCCACTAAAAATGCTATGATACTTCTAAGAAAATCCTTCCTAAAATGGATGCAAATGGGAAATGTTCACAAATTCAGTAAGAATTAGTCCAAAATTATAGCGGCAAGTGGCAATCTAAATGAATGTTTCTAGTCTCATATTCGGTAATGTTTGCCTTTACTCCCTAGAAAACAAAATTGTCTCCTTTTAGTTCAATTTACTGAAATGTGTCTTACTTTGTCCTTATTTCGATAAATGGTAAACTAAAAGGAGACGATCTTTTGTGTAAAGGACAACAATCATAACACATTTTCATTAACTTTTTTTAAGATATGACTTTCATAATATTTCAAACTTTACAACTAACAACTAATTTTTATTAATGGAATCTCACTTTTATGAGTCAAATATTATTTTACTTTTGTAAGAATGGATAAAACAATTATTTATATATCTTTTAAAGATAAATCCTTTTTTAGAATGACTTTTTAAGGATATAAAAAACAACTTTTAAATTATGAGTCTTGAAAAAAATCCAAAACAAAAAGACCTTATTGGCTTCATACCAGGACCCAGCCGGTCCATGTCAACCCGTGCCTCAAAGAATGTTTCAAAAACACATTTTAAAAAATGATAGATCAAAAGAAGAATGTTTATTTTTGAGGCTCTAAAACAAAAATTACTCTATTTTCCTGAACTAAAAACCTAAAAATAGTGTATAACCTTTGAGAAATGATTTGAGTGTTTGATTGATTACCTTCTGATAGGAAAGACCTGCTCCAATACCAACAATGCTTACCAAATGGTGGACTGTGTTATCTAGAGTGACTCTTTCACCAAAGTGACAACAAGCAAGATCATAAATGAGATAAGAAAGACTCACTGCTAGGACTTGCATCTGCTCATAGTAGAGTTCAAGCATTCCACTTTAGTGCCAAATCTAAATTAAAAAAAGAAACACCAAATTCATATAAATATTGATGTTTCCCTCATCAAAAGGGCATGGAGTACCTGTTTGGGTGAAGATTTTGAACCCACAGGACAGATTGGACACCTCCAATCTTCAACAGAGAGCCAAGCCAATGTTACTGCCAAAGTTGCATGGAGAGTGGACACAACGCGGTTGCAGAAATCAAAAGAGCGTTTGGGAAATATTATTCTTCTCGCTATCACAAAAGCTGATGTCCATGACACTACCCCAACAACAATTGTCTTTATAACATAGTCTTCCATTTCTCTACGCTGCAAAATATGTGTTCAGTGTTCACATTTGATGAAATTTCACCAAATGCACTAACTTTTAAGCATCCACCAATAACTTGACACACAAATGTATATATACATTTATGCCTAAAAATATTATATGGTTCAGAATTCAAATATGTCAATGATCACTTGGAGAGGGGATCCGAAGAAATAATAACTTGCATAATTGCATTTCATAGCACAACTGCCACCAGAATATGATGAATCAATGGAGTATGTCCAAGTCGATAAAGAAAATGTGGACTTGTCAGCAAGTTATTACTCAACCACCACATTTATTATATGTATGCATGGACAGATAGATGAAGTGAAATACTCCCTCCGTGATCCTACAATGACTGCACCTTAAGGTCTAGGATAATTTTTTAAACAATTTTATTAAAATAACACACCCTTAATGAATGCATTATATATTACTTTTAATTGTGTTAGTTGGATAATTTATAAAAGGACAAATTAGAAGAAGAAAAAAAATGTTACATTGTGAGAATTCATCCCATTGTGGGACAGAAATATATCTTTCAACTAAGGGTTATTCTACTTTAATCAATGATCTTGAGTTTCAATATTGAATATAAGGTTGCATTAAATACTCAGAAACTTGTCATTCACAATGGGACTACCCTATTGGAGTAAGATTGATCTAGTAGAGGATAGAGTGATCTAGATAAAAATAAATAAAAGCTAATTAACACAATTTGGGTGGACCAAAGATCAATGTTAAACTGAACGAAGGTGGGACCGTACATGGTTGCAAAGATGTATGAAAGCAATGGGAAACATGTGGTTAGGTTTACTACTTTTAGGGTTTTATAGTTTAGTTGGTAAGTTGTCTCACGGTACTTTGGCGGGTTCCACTCATTTATTGCGGCAAAGTAAGGTAAGCACGCAACGAAGGATTAAGATTGCAGCCAAAAATGAGTTGGTAAGCACGATTAAGCAGATGAAGGTACCATAAAAGAGGAATCCTATGCAATTTTCTCTAAAACTTTTCGATATCTTTGATAGAGGAATTCGTGCTGAGTTACACAATAAAATTCATTTGACATAAGAATTCATACCAAGTTGCACAATTAAGTTCATTAAAACACAGTAATTAAAATAATTAAAAGTTATTTAATGATATGAAACGTAGACAATTGACATTGTAATGAAAGCCTTTCAATTTTGGAAGTTATTCAAAATCGAATATTTGATAACATTTTTCTTTTGACAAGTTGAATACTGAATAATGATAACATTAAAACAAAGGTTTTAATACAAATTTTAAATTAACAATTAAATGAAAAATAACCACTTTAAAATATCACAAAATATACCATGAGGATGTTTTACTTTTATAATAATTTCTCCATATTAAATGCGAATGATTATTTTGTATGAGAATGTTTTTTGGAATTATTTTTCTATCAAAACATTTTTAGGATTTTTTTAAATTTTTTTATCTAATTTAATTTTTTATTAAATAATTATTTATAAATTTAATTTAATATTTTAAAATAAATTATCAATAATTAAATTAATATATTTAATTATTTTAAATCCAGAATATAATTTATATATTTTAAATATTTATTTATAAAAAATTAAATATATTATATATTTATATATAATTTATTATAAATTTTAATTATATATAATAAATATTGGTTTAAATATGTTTTTAGTCCCTAAAATTTAAAGTAAATTTATTTTTCATTCCTCAAATTTAAAATTAGTCTTGTTAGTTTTGTAATTTCAAAAAATTTTATTTTAGTTCTTATACTCAAATTTTGTTAGAAAATTTGTCAAATATTGTCACATAAAATATATCTATGAGTGTCCCTATTAAAGAAAACGTCACATTAAATTCATTTATCAATTTTTGATATATTATTGGTAACTTGAGAAATTAAAACAAGATTTTAAAAAATTACTATAACTAAAAATAATAATTTTAAATTTAAAAATAAAAAATAAAATTACACTAAATTTAAAAAATTAAAAATAAATTTTATTATTTAACTCGTGGAATTCATGTGCCAAAAATACTAATAGGTATTACAACTTATTAATTGTAACGTAGTAAGTTGATTCAGAGTTTAGTGGATGCTAGAGAAAAGAATATATGAGATTTTCTCTGAGAAGGGAGCCCCATAAGCTCATTCTCAAAGAAATCTAGAGAGAAGGACTCTAAGTTCATGAGCTCCTTTCTCTCCCAAATTTCTCTGTTTGATTCTTCTTCTTCTCTAGATCACTAATTCCTTTTTCTTGAAATTCAGGCTAGGAAACTTGTTTTGGAGGATTAAAGTCCGTGGGTTGAGCTTTGGGGGAAATCTTCTTCTTCTTCCTCTTCTTGGCTGTTCTTAGCCAATCTTCAGGTAAGGAAAGCTAGAATGTAGGTTGATTGGTTGCATGTGAGTGTAGGAACTCAATTGGTACATGAATTTTGAGAAATAGGGTTGAACTGAAGGATTTGCTCATTTCAGGGTTTTTGGGCAAAATGGGATTTTGATGATTTTGATGCATCAAGTGGGTGCATGTTGAATTTGAAATCATTTTTGAATTGTATGGAGTCTATGTATTTCATTTCATGGATTGCATGTGGCTGGAGGCTACTGTTTGAAACTGCATCAAACGCATATTCTTGGCACCAGGCGTGCATTCATCAGGGGCAACCATTGCCTAATCACGCTAGGAGCGACGTTAATCGCGCCGGGCACGATTTGAAATGAGAGTCTATGGATGAGTCACGTCGGGCGTGAGGAGAGCCACGCTAGGAATGATATCAGATAGTGGCCTTGTATGGCATGTTACTGATATGGCGCCAGACGCAGGGTGGGTGCGTCGGGCGTAAAGATCCTTGTGAGTCTCTGTCTAGATGGTGTCGGGCGCAGAGTTGGGTGCGTCAAGCACGATTTAAAATGGGAGTCTCTAGATGAGTCACGTCGGACGTGAGGAGAGCCACGTTGGTCGTGATATCAGATAGTGGCCCTGTATGGAATGTTACTGATATGGCGTCGGGCGCAGGGTGGGTGCACCAGGCGTGGAGATCCTTGTGAGTCTCTGTCTAAGTGATGCCAGGCGTGGTAATTCTACACCGGGCATGGGAGAGTCTTAGAGCTCTCGAGTTGGGTTTAGGTCGGGCACAAGCTGACTTACGCTGGGCGTGAGTATGCTTGGTGTTATGATTCAAAATGATGCTTTCGCATGTTTAAAGTTGAAGTTGGATCATGTATGTATGATATATGATGTATGGTGATGATTGATTCATATGTATGCTTGGTAATGATATATATGAATGTTTAACATGATTTGGTATGTATTTTCATATGAGAATGATATTGATCATGATGGTGGATTGACCATGTATGATGTATGATGCATTATTGCATGTGATGCCTTATGGCATGTATCTAGCCTAGGACTTGAGGAGAGGGAAAATGTTTTCGAACTAGAAGAGCTCACATGGAGTCTCTTGAGAGTGGTGCTTGGATAGGTCACTGATTTATATGAAAGTGGTGCTTAGATAGGCCACTGGTTTTGGGTGAGAGTGGTGTTTGGATAGGCCACTGATTTGGGTGAGTCTCCTCTAAGTCCTTAGCTAGTGTGGAGCGGGGTATGAGGTCGAGGGTTATTCCTTTAACCAAGTACTGGGGAAGGTGCGTGGTTCCTTGTGGATAGTCGGTGGACGAACTCCACAAGTGACTTAATAATGTATGTCAAGGTCGTGGTAAGCTTGTACCCAGCTGTATTATACTTAACGGTGGAACCAGACTTCAAAGTGTGTAAGTGACATCATCCGAGTAAACCTGGAGATTTATATCTCGGTTAGTTATGACCGAGCGGGCGCATTGGGCGTAAAAATGGTTGGGGTGGTTTCGGTAGGATGGGATGTCACTTATATTGATTTGTTATTAGGGAGATCTCCTAGGTGAATGCGTGACGATGCATTAGATGATTGATATGCATTGATATCTATCATAACTTGCTATTATTGCATGATTTCCATTATGATGAAGTGTATGATGTTTGACATCATGGTTGGTGAGTTGATGATTGAGTGAGATGAAAGTCCCTTGGGATATGATTGGATGAATATGTAATATAGATTATTGTTCTATACTATTATGGTTGTTTATTGAACTCTAATTTACCCTTCTGTTTCCATGTGGATGGACTACGATGATCATACTGTGTATGGAAGTAGGTCAGGGTTAGGTTGGAGCTGGTTGTTGTGACCGCTCCGAGATGTGGAGTTTTGTTCTAGTATCAGAGTTACCATTTTGGGTAATTGTTTGTTGTACTTGACCGACACTAGGAGAGTATTGATATCTTTTGGATTACTATATATATATATATATAGTATTATGTTTTGTACATAGAAGCGTAGATTATTATTATTTTTATTTATATATATGTATGTATTTTGGTTATCCAGCTAATATCTCCTCTTAGTTCATTAATGTATTTAGTGTGATTCCACGGAGTGTAGGACCATGGCAGGTCGTTACATTAATAATTTATGTTTTGTAATTAGTTACCTAATATAACTTTTCAAATGTTTTCTATTAAGTATTTCTTCTATATATAAGTGACTCCTTAATTTTAATAATTTATGTTTTGTAATCGTATTCCTTTATTTTTCATCTCTCATGATGTCTAATTCCATGAGACTGTTTTTCCTTTTCATCACACCACCTCTACTTCATCATCTTTTGATCCCTTTCCTACCATAGTGCTTCCAAAGCCTATCATTTCTAATCATCCTTTACCCTCACCCTTTCCTCAAAACATAGATTAACACATTGCCTTAAACATGGACCAACACACTACTTCCCATGATTTATTTCTTTGTCGTTCCACACAACCTCAACAAACTCTTGCTTACTTTAGAAAAAGATCTGAGGGAAGAGTGTATAAGGTTCATGAGTTCTTTTTCTTTCGATATTCTTCTCTTCTTGTTTCAATCCTTTATAAGTTGTATTGTTTATGATTCAAGTAGTGGAAACCTCAAATCAACCCATTGATTTTGTTGCGAAGCCTCAATCTTCCTTTCTATTCTACCTCAGACCTGAGTTACGCAAGGTAAGGGAAGTTAGAAAATTTAAGTGTGATGTATGATTTGAGGGTCGGAAAACCATTTCTAAGTTTTGTGTAGTGTAGAATCACATTATTTGGGGTTGTGTTGATGAATTATGAGGGGGAAACAAGTTGAAAAGGGATTTTTTTGAGTTGTTGGCCATAATCATTGATTCTTTTATAAAT